CACTTCCAGCTTCGATCGTATGCCGCTATCCCTGAACTGCTGCTTCCTCCAGTAGCTTGCACCACCGTGTCAGACAACATTTTTACACCTGGCACAGCTGTTTTGTGTTTTAACAGGAACCATGAAGCCGCGTAAATCTTCACTCAGAAGGGTGTGTGTGTGTGTGCAGGAAGCTACTTCCACTCTGTCTTCTCATGTGATTGTACTCCCCATACATCTGGGTTTTGGAGCATGGGCTGATTTTTCACACAGGAGGCACGAACAGCAACCAAACGAAACGTGTGAGATTACAGTAAATCATTAATGGTTACCATATCGGATATTGTGCAAATCAACTCCTCAATCTTTCACAGAAAGTTCAGAGCAGAATTAAAATCAGAATGCGAATTTGTTTACCATTCGAATAAATCCCGAGTTAGAATGGTATGCAGTTCATCATACTCGTTAGGAGATAAGATCAAGTTCACTAGTGAAGTACATGGATGTGGCATCTGGAGCAAAAGAGGGTCAAGTGAGGGGAAGGAACCTTACATTTATCGGATCCAAGGTAATCTAATTATTATGGTTGTGTTTATTTGTGTTTATTTTATTTATTTGGATCAATCTGCTGTCTTGGTTTTCCTGACTAAAATTCTTTTTTTGATTACCTAGCACACGTATAGATTGATAAAACGTCAGCATCCGAGGATTTCCAAACATACAATGTTGGTTTATTTTACTGTTAAACCATTAAAGGGGTAATGGTGTAAACAATTCTTCCACTGAAAACAGCTTCATATTGGTGAAACGAAATCGAATTCGTCCTCACTAACGATTTTTTCCAAAGTTTTATTGGTGTTTCCAATCTGCGTGCATAATATCACTGTCTCTTCAACACACCCGTACTGCTATTATGCATCGGAACTCGAAATACCAAAACCCTATGAAAGGGATCGGCGTTTGACTTAGGCCAATGTTATTAAAGCTGCCTACCCCAAACTTTGAGTGGCCAGGTTTGGACCGCAGACTTTTGTGCCTGAACAATGTGGGAAACAAACAAACAAAACTGCTTGTGCACCACCAACACTATCACACAATAACAAGGCCACCGACGATGGTTAGCGAGGGAAGGAGAGAGTCGAAATAGATTTGTCCAATCACAACTTACATATTCCTGATCACCAATCAGATATAGTTCTATCATTCTCGCGGGAACTTCCAGCGTGTTTGGTTTCATCTGTAATGAAAAATAGACGAGGATAAGGCGTCTGTGACACGAATCAAAAACCAAACTTTCTCATTCTTCTCCCCAAAAGTAAGATGCATTCACCTGGCCTTCAGCTACCCGTTAAAATTAAATTTAAATAAAACTAGTGGGGAGCGCGGATTGTCACGAAACAAATGAACCAATTTTACAGAATGCATTTTTTGACAAAGCAACGTGACATGATTTTGCTTGAGCGTCCAGATCACCGCTACCAGATGATGGTAATTTGTTCATAACCGGCAACGGACAGTTTCCTTTCGAGTTTAAACAAACATTATTCGTGCACGTTCTTGTGGTGGTTTTGGTTACTTTCTTTTAAAGGGAAATTTGTATAAAGCATCACAGTAAAGATTAGAATAATGCGAGTAGTGTGAAAGTGGAAATGAAAAATTCATGGAGATCAGGGATGGAAAGACATTAGGAAGATGCAGGAGCGTCAATGTTTTCGACACACAACTATATCTTTTAGTGACGCGAATTATTGGTAACGATAATCCGGAGGTCCCCATCACGGAAGCCTATCAGACCCCATGTGAACATCATCTGGTCACGGTTTCCAAGCCATCAAGCCAGTTCTTTGCTTAGAATATGCTCTTTCCACCGATACAAACATACAAGGAATACTTGATTTTTTATTACACACCTTTGATGTGATGAATAACAGACGGGGTAAACCCGAAACTGGAAACTGAAATTCTCAGTCTCTTGAATTAGAGTGGCAAACCACATACAGTTAGGTGTGGTATTGAACCGGACGACAGCAAAGTTGTCTACTCCCCTAAAGTTAAGAGTAAATAAACAGTAATGAATGATCGTGGTTAAATGCTTGTCGACAAGCGCCAAGTACACTAATTACAATGATACGCATGTCACCGGATAAGCTTTACTCATGTGTTCTGTAGCACACGGTAATTAGAAGAACAAAGTAGATCAAGCCATGACCTGTGATAAGAGTATGAAAATCCTGACCATGAAACTGAGTCACATGAGCATCTTCAGGCTTTCAATTGGATATAATGGCACTAGCCAACTCAGCGGTTGAAGAAACAAAGCAATACGATTGGATGCTGAAAACAGTTGCATCCAGTAGCTTGTCTGATTATCTACCTTACTGGCATTAAGCATCAAGCGGTTCTATCTTCATATCTTTCTTCTGCCTTTATTAGTGATCTTTCGGTCCCACTCCCTGTGCACATCCAAAAGTATGCTGATGACGTTGTTTTGTGTCAGACAGTTTCATCTTTTTCGGAATTTCATTCTTTTACTAAAAACCTATCCCACATGCGGCAGTTTTCTGACCAATCTGGTCTCAGTCTTAACATATCTAAGTGCGTAGAGTGCATTTCCAGTCTTTCCCGCTTCTCATTAACAACGGACTCAGCTACCCTTAACGGTAAACCTGTATCCAGAATTGCCTCAGTCAAGTACCTGTGTGTCACTATCGACAGAAACCTTCGTTTGTCTACACTTATCTACAACTGTATGGGAAAACTGAGAGGTCTATCTTTTCAGTTACGCAAACTCAGGTCATTCCGAACCCCACAGTCCGTCCTGTCGTCTTTCGTTCATCAAGGCGTTTTACCCATTCTACTTTATTGCTCCCCTGTGGTGTTTCTCGGTCTTTTAAAACACGACTTCAAGACAATTCTCCGTGGTTTGGTGGTAATCAGTCGTGCATCATTAATCCCAATGAACTGATAATCGCATCAACTCTTGTTTTAAATTTGCTCAAAAGATTCTAGGTGATCCTCTTCATTTATTACACCCCGATCTATCGTCTTGTCGTTCCCATCCGTCCAAACGCTCCTCATTTTGACAGCTACCCTCTCGGATTAACATTTATAAAAATTTTCATGTACCTTACTTGGTCCGACAACTTACATAAAAGGAACAGGTCTCAAATGAACTACGTCAAAAGTTTTGTACATGAAACATATATCACCGACATTCTTTACCTTTCGTTTTTAATATTATTATTTCACTCTGTGTGACGAATAGTGTACATTTTTAACTGAAATGTAAGGATATATGCTTACACAGGTTATACAGATACAAATACAAATCAATTTGAGATTGCAGTCTAATTGATGTTCAATACGACTTCTGCATTGTTTGATGGAATGTGCAGCCAGAAACCAAAGATCAAAACACACGAAGGAAATCGCCGAGTTAATGGTTTTACGACTTGGAACAGGGACGAAACGCATCAATTTTCCAGATTGCCACCGTACAGTGATAAACATCAAATGGCATGACCCAGATAGTCACATGGGCCTAAAGCTCGTATTTGGCAAACCGGTGAATCAGAACTCGGCGAACTAAATAATGCCCTAGCTTGATAGACATGACAGTGCGCTGGCTAGCCACACCAAAAAGAAGAACAAATGACGGTGACAGACCTCGTACTCAGGATACTACAGTCTGGGTTGATGACATCCTAACACAGACTGGACACCACTTATGACCGTGTGGCATAGTTCTGGCTGCCACCTATATGCTTATTCCAGAGACTGGCCCGTGATTCATTCTCTTTACTCTTGGCATTTTGTGCGTGATATGCCTTATTGTTACCAATCCACTGTCTGCAGTACTGTGTGTGATAGATATTTTCCAAACATACAAATCTGCACGCAGTGGTGCAGTGGTTTGGTCTCTGTGGATACTGTGTTCTTAGATTCGAGCCCCGCCACCACCACGCAACTTTGGTGGCGGTAGGCAGCTTTGCTGTCTTCCGGTCCAATATCACGCCTAATGTAGCAGGGCCTTATTGGTTTCGTCAATCCAAGTTCCGAGGCTTCGATTGTCGGTTTCCAACACTGAAAAGCAGGTACCCGTGGCTAAGGGGACCACGCCGTCTGGTGTCCGTCACACCAGTTTGGAATCACAAATGTGACGTGAACCAATTCCCCTTCCAGGTTTTTCTCTCGCCTAATACTTACGTGGAACAGCTCTTCTGCTATTGCACTTTAGTCAATGAAATAACCTAATTAACCGGGATTGTGCCGGTGTACACTTCAATACCTGGCTGAACGTACTCTTACTATGATTCAGAGCGACTGAGAGAAATTCTGATCCAGTCATATGTTGACACTAAAATGTACTGATTGCACACCTATTCAAGTCCGTTTTAAATTACCGACAAGTTAGAAAATTTATCTTCTTTTGAAATGCTAAACAATCGTGATGAAATCATCAAATTCGGTGTTGGGTATTGGGAAATAGTGCATTGGTGAAATTGCACCAATGAACATGTAATTCGGGCTAACGCGGCTCTTGTTCGATGCGAGATGACTGATTCCAAGGCAAAGCACGAACATTTCATGGTACGGGAATGATGAACGGGGCGAAAAGAACGGGACAACTGAAACTGACTGATTCATTGACAACGTCCGGGTTTTCGTAGATTTTCTTCAATTGTAGCACTTGATCCTTTTTCACTGGCATCGCTTGACGACTCAGTTCAAGCACGGTATTTCGACCGAAGGCAATAAATCCGCTGTGACGGGGAACAGTACCAAAACGGGTCAAAATGACGTACAGGGAATAATCACGTACGTGTATCAACAACAAAATCGGTGGTACATTTATTCACATGATTCGACTTAACGTCTAGTGGACTAAATAAAATAAATAAATAAATAAATCCCAATCGCTGTTCCTATAACACCGAAATTTGAGCATTATCGACCACAATCTCGCGATGGAATGCGTCCAGGATTGTCCAATATAGGCTCTTCGTCTCTTTGGGGTTCTCGGGTTAGGCCCAGAGTTTAAGGTAGCCGCAGTCGCCCACTGGAGAAAGTGGTCGACCTCCATAAATTACATTGGTTTAGGTATGTGTTACGTATGTCACGTAATAGGTTGCCACGGTGAGCGATACCGGTAGTGGGTGGAACAAAGCCAAGAGTGGTCAAACTAGGACCTAGAATGAGGGCATGAAAACCCTGACCCGGCAACTCGGTCAACTAGGTCCCATTAGGCTGCCTGGATGGGGACATCGGGATGCTCGTGACTGGTGTGTAGAGACTCTGAGTAATATGCCTGAGTGTTAAAAACAATGGCGTTCGTGCACTTTCTCATCCGAATGGGCAACCAAAACCGGCGAACGAAGTGCATCGTTAATGGTTCTGAAAACTAAAACTCAAACTTAGGTTCACGACCCTACCCCCTCACTCAACGCACTCACACGTATTCACGCAATAACGTCGGAGCTGGGTAGCGCGAGCAACGTTACAACGGAAAGTTCCGGGAAGCATAGCACCGCGAATGTGATATGCAACACATACTTAGAAATACATCGTGATACTATCCTTTTATTTTGATATTATCCTCGCAACTCCTAGATTTTAGTCTCCAGGGTGATCAGGAATTATCGAACACCATTGTTCACCTGAATTTGTGTTATCAGTGTGCGTAGGTACATTTTCTTGTTCTAATTGAATAGATTTCGGTGTATCATATCCGCCGCATTAGGAATGTAAAATTTCCGCAAGAAAAACGTTAACTTTAATGAAACATTAATTTAATTTAATGCAACCAAATCAAATGCATGATAGATTTAAGTGAAACCAATCGCTCATTTTTGGCGAAGATCGTTCAAACAACCCCTGTGCGTGAATTCGTGGCTTTATTCAAACAAGAGGACTCTGCTGTTGCCCGGCTTGCTACCACACCGGTTCTTTGAAGACCTTATTTGGTCCACGACTCATCATGATCATCATTATCGTACAGCGAAATACAGAGAGGAGATCTTCACTCATCGCGACCAAACTCTCAATGCATACAAGTTTAGCGGCAAAATTTAAAGTGAACAGGAATTGAACCTATTGTGAGAGAGGGGGAAGAAGGTGAACCTCTATGGTGAACACAGAGAGTACGCAATCGAGCTCGGCATACATACCGTTTCCGACCTGTTAGGAGACGCCAACAATACTGCCAGTGCTGTCGGTTTGCTGCCATATCCTTCACTGTCTCCAACCAATCATTTGAGGAGTCTTTTGGACCCCGAACAGTAAGACGCGATACACTTACTCTACCTAATGGCTCGGTGCACTCCTTCATCCCTTGTCTCCACGTCATTTTTGACCTCCACGAGGCTTCCTCCAGACCGGAGCGGCTGCAGCGAATAAGGCGCAATGTGATAGACAGTAGATGGGCATACGCAATACGTGTCCTAGCCAGCGAAGTCTACCAATGTGAATGAAATGTGCTAGCACTCCAGGTCTCAAGTTACTGATTTCCTTCTCATTACATGAATATGACAATACAAAATGACTGATGTTCTCGCTCGCTCTTCTCATTCGTAAAGCAAACATGCAGTCATTACCCTCAACAAAATTTGCGGAATAAACCAGTCTTCCTCATCGTTTTAAACAAACAGCTGATCGATGGCCCTATCCTTACCCTCAATTTGCAGTCCCTATTCCATCGCCAAGTGGTTGCTTTGCTGTCCATTCTCCACCTTGACTTTTTCTCTCCGGAGCTTACCTCGGCAATGCGTATTTCTGTTAGTTTTGCCCACCTATCCAGATATCGAGTCATCCTTATCGGATCTCGGCCTCCAAATGCCGTACTTCTCGTATTCCTCAAACTGTCAAGTTGTTGTTGGAACACTCCTACTCGCTGCTTTACAAAATTTCTCTCTCTAAACACAGAGATGAGAACCAATCTGACAGAAACATCCGTTCAATGCTTCGTACAGTTTAAGTTTCGTTTTCTGTTTACGCGACCAAACTCATCAAATGATGAAACAACGAATCAATCAGCTGATTTCTACGTAAAAGTTCCCCTACGCTTCCGCTTAAAGTGTGCTTTTTCATTATAGGTATTTCCCCTTTTACTGTTATGTGTAGGAAAAAGCGAAAAATGTGAAATTTCTCTCAAAAATAAATTAGAGTCCAGCACACTCGTTTCGTGTAAATTTTCCTGAACAGATGATGTTTTTGTTAAATTCGATATTCAGATATAAACTGTCAAGTCCCTAAAGTAGACCTGTTTAGTCTAATACTTCTGAACACAGGACCCTTCACTGTTGATTCCGCCACGCGTGTGACGCAGCATTTATGCCCCATGAGCAAATAATAGTCTCCATCAGCTTTCATTTCATTGCAATCTTAAAGCTATGCTCCCTCCCCCGTTGAAAAAGTGAACGTTTTCGCAGGTTCAATGAGTTCTCAGATATAAACGTACCTGATTTCGTTCCCGACAGTCACCAGCGCAGCGAACGTTGACTCGTCCGGACTGGCTTGATACACACATTGATCCTGTAAGTGGGATAGGGCATGAAACATCGGTTCAAATACCGCATGGTAAGATAAGTGTTGTTTCACAAACTTTTGTTTTCGTTCTTACTCCCTTCTACTGAATAATCAATGACAAAGTTTTCAAGGAGGGGGCATAGCCTAATCAAAGGGCTGTCATACAACACATAACGAGGAGAATCAGATAGTGGTGGTGGTGGGATTCGAACACACGCCCTCCCGGGATGATAATTTGGCAACGTTACCACCACCACCGTCCAGCCTTGAGATTTAAGAGTTTCACAGCTAAATAGTCTCATTTTTCAGTGAAAAAGAAATTTCGATCAAGGACAACCTTCCGAAACGTTGACGGATCTAGAACGCTCAGTGAGATGCTTGGAAGCAGACTGGCTATGCTTTGATGCTTTCTGTCATTGTTTCACTGGTATATATATATTTTAATTTAACATTTACCGAAATATGACATGGTCTGTGGCACGTGTGGCACAAGTGTAGCTCACCGGATGTGGTCGTTTACAACTGCACAGTATGACGAAGGCCAGACGGCGGTCGTAGGACGAAAAGAATACAAGTTATCAACAAACGCAGTGAGGAAACGAGGTCAGTATTTGTCTCTCTTCTTCCAAGTGTTCGTACAAGGAGCCCCCATAACTGGGTGTTTGAAGACGGTAGAAAACTACAATGATCGCATTCATGAGGCAATTTCTGATCAGATCTTACTGTTTGAATAAGTGCGTATGCTCAACTAGACTGGGTTCTTCCTGTATTGGCTAGAGTGCTAAAATTCCCATCTCCTTCCATGCAGATTAGTCTCATTACCTAGGGTATTGAACGAAGTCACTCGAAGCCCTAACTCTCATTAGATCATTTTCCCCTAATGTTTAACGTTTTCAGCCTCATTTAGCGGATCGAATATGGTATTACAGCACATATGTTGTTCCTTCCATTAGTTAAATGCTATCATTTTACTGAATTTGCACCGTATGGAGAAATGCATGCTATTAAGAATACTTGTATTGACCGGAATAAGCTCGATCATGAAACGCGATGCATCTTTGAGGAAGAATGAGCTTCCGGTCTGCACTGCACCAAAGGTTTTCGAATTCTGAGCTGCACAACCTAAAAACTATTGGAAAGTTTATCGTAAAACTCATGATCGATCAACAAAAGTGCAGCAAGTTTAAGAACATCATATTTGGAGATAAAGTTTATATTGACTGATCGCCATCCATGCTTATCGATATGCCAGTATCATATTACAAACTGAAGTATGTATTTATAAGTTGAGGGTCATGTTGCATGCTTTCGGTCAATACTCGGATACGCGTTTTATAATCATACTCCGGCGTTTCTTATTGATAAATTGGTGAAGTTGAATTACTCTATGGGATGATAAATGCGGTGGTGAAGAAAAACAAGTTGTATGAAGGAGAACATGGGCGAATATCAGAGAGTTAGATTGAGAATAATATTGAAAATAACTTTGTTTGATAACACAGTGCAACACTCACATCGGGGATTTTCGGACCATTCAAATTTTTTATTCTTAAGACATATCTGAAATCGAATGGAAATAAATTTTTGATCTAATAACCGATATTGATTGGAGAATACCTTGAATAAAAGAATGGATAGAAGCAACGTCGAATCATAGGGAGACAATATTAGTTCGCAGGTTCATCATTCGGGCAGTGATTTTCTGGTTATGATATCTAATGCACAGCAAACCGGCTCCGGGAAAGCTCACACGTCTTTTACAGGCAATGGACAAATCAAATCATTGGATAGAGTTTATACACCCCTTATCAATATACTTTGTGCAGCGGTTTTGGTTGATTTCTTCAGACTACCCATATGGCTAAAAGAGCTGAAGGAATATTGAAGTGCTGAAGGTAGAACCCAGTAGGAAGAGAGAAAGATATATGTGGATTTAGAGAGAGAAAAAAAGTTCTTTGACCCTAAATTAAATTGGACATAGTTCCACTTAGTGTACAAATTATTTGAGCAATACCATCGTTCCCTTTAAGCTCTAATCAATGGAACTTCGTGCATTTCAAGTCAACCAGCGGCTATTACGTCTGTTACCTAGCCGTACCCATTCCGTTGAATGTTACAACTTCATCGAATCCACATAAAGCTCTTGTCATGTATCACGATTTCTGAGCAGTATCGAATCTGCGAAAGCGATTTCGTAAGCATAGTCTAAGCTCAGAACGCAACGTCCTCTACGAGGAGTTCAACTCCGCTGTCGGTTAGACCGAGCAAAATAAGTTATAGCAAATGGCGTAGTTGGAAATAAAATAGGAAGAAGCAGTAAAGTTGTCACCGCAAACACCAGTTACTTGCAGAAAATAGAAATAGACTGTAGTCCGACCTGAGTTATGAGTTTAGAGCAATTAGAAAAGCGACAAATATAATTCCAGTATTCCGTGTTTTAACGAACAAGTTCTGAGGGTAATCCCATCAACCAGAGGTTAATCTTCGGTATTCCTACTCGCCGTTCGGGATCTGCAGTGCTCTCCATTCATTTTTCATGATCATCAACATGTTTGAATCCAATGAGCCGGATGACTCACCCAGAAACTTCATGAAGACGAACCGTTTGTTTCGACTCGATCGCAATGGCGACAATTGAACAGTTGTGCTGGGCGGTGAAAAAAATAAGTCAAAAAAATTATTGACCACTTGAAACATCACAGATGTAAATTAAAGTTCCGTATTAATCCGCACCACTAGCCGTTTGAAATAAAAGCTGTCGAAAGCCGTAACAGCACTTCGTACAAGTGTGACGGTGATGACTCAACTGACGGATGCTACCACCATATGGTGATATATCGTCAGCCTACTTGCGCATTTGCGAGTAGTTATAATGAATGAGTTGTAAAATTCTGAAACCGCTAAGAAGCAAGACAAAGACAAATTCGGTATAATGCAAGCACTGACTGAAAAACTGGCTAGTTTTTATACTTCTTAGATTAATAACATCGTCCTTTTGTTTCGCAATTGTGGTTGATGTTCCTCAAATTTTATCATACTTGTCTCCCAGTCACCAGAAGTTACATTGACTATTCCCCTGACTTTTGTCGTTAGCCGGTTGAAAATGATATTCAGTCTAACATAGAAGCCGAGTATTAAGCTTAGAGATTGCAATTTTCAATGCCCTTTAGCAAATAACTATAAACATATTGAAAAAATATGTGACAACCTAAATTAGTAACAGCGACAGTGGTCCCAACTTGACCGCATGAAAGAGATTGATCGGAACAATCCAGTTTCCCGATGCGGAAGCTGATCGGATAAATGGAACCGGGTGTAACCCGGTTCACACTATCCTGGCGTTAACTCATCGAAAGACGGAAAACTTGACTGACACGGCTCTTCGTGAATGTGGATAATGTGATCTCTGAAAAGTCGGTTAATTTTTCAATTACTCTGGATGAGATTGACTTGACTACTTCTGAACTATGATTCCCCAAACAGAAATTACCATTCAGGTCAAATAAGATAAGAATTAAGAATTCAAAAACATCAGTAACGAACTGGATAAAGTATATTTGGATTTTAAGGAAAACGATTCCTGAACTGGAGCGGCTGATTCGCTTTGCTTTAACTAGATGATTATGAAATCTGTCATTCGAAATGCTATCTCCAGGTTTCTAATATTACGTAAGTAAACTGTTCTGCTTTTGGAAGTTTTACTATGAAGGAATGACAGTAGATCATTTAAAGGTCCACATGCATTGTTATATTAGAAAGTCACGACAACTTTTATGCAGTCTACCGACACGCGCTTTGGCTCGTACGGAGGGTTGTTAAATGCCGTTCGTCACACAGGCTGACTGATTTCATCGTGTAGATCTCGTGAATTCTTCACGTGATCTGACTGCAGAAAACAGTGATCATGTCACAGTGAACTGAAAAGTAAAAAAACTCAGTATACAAGTATAACATCATAATCTGTCATTGAGATCTCAGTTACTGGAAAACATGCTTCACAAGTGAATCACGTGATGAGTGAACTATTTGAACTATTTTTGCCTAATTGGGGTGTGGCCTATCATTTGACTTGTGTGCTTCTGGTCGTCTCGTCAAGATTACAATATTGCACCGGTTGACAACTAAATGCAATCTTCTGATTTGATCTGAAATGCCTGCTTCAGTTTACAACTCAGTGTGCTATTCAGTGCAAGAAAGACGAATATCATAGTCATGTACACCTAATCTTGGGCGCCGGAACCGCATACCTAGACAACGAGACTGGGAACAGCTGATCAGGGATACAGACGAAAAAATCCCACACCAACGAGGCTAAAATTGATGCCGTTAGTTGGGAGTGTTGACTTTGCGGATGACATTGTTTCCAATTATCCGGAGGTTTGGAATATCCTCCACACTCAGCAAACTGCCATACGAGGTCCACTTTCTCATGCTGGATACCTACGGGAGGAGCATATCGTCTAGCTGACACAGTATAACGGCATAGATTATCAACTTTCATAACGAATAGAAATAATTGATTTTTCCTGCTCTCAGCAGAAACCAGACGGGTTTGTCAGTGGTTTGTCGTTGTCGTCGTCGTCGGTCCCTACTGTACACTTGCAGTTAGGAATATCTTCTTTCTCATTTTCTTAAGTGCCTGAGTTCAGACTGTGTGCCAAACAAATCAAGGTGCAGCGAAAGTAATAAAAAAGAAGTAAGGTAAATTATTTGCTCGAGTGCATGATACAGCTCAGTCAACCAGGCCAAAGCAGGTGAATTTTCTTAGGAAGTTTACAATCGGAGTCTTCCGCTACCCAAAGCCTGAACCACAAGGCATCGGGACGAGTACAAATAGAAATATCTTGCTAGCAAGTATCCAGTTCATCGGATCTTATACCCTCTGGACTAGGTCAAACATTCAGGATACCAGATACACTTCGATGCCCAGTCAAGCCGATAACTACTGCCACAACCAGAAAGCTTTGAGTGAGTGTGGTTTGTACGCCTCTTCTTGGCTGCTTCCGAATCAGGGTTTTAAGAAGACACAACTAGGTGAACTGCCAGTGTTTCACCGACCCGGTTTTAGCCACGGCTATTGATTTTTCGCCTTCTGACTTTGGTGGGCAAACTCCTCCACAGCGAGTAGGACTTCCTGAGCAGAAGCTATTTGAGGCGCTTGGGCATTACCAAGCATTTAGATAGCTGTAAT